CCCCCCCCCCCCCCCCGTGTTTTGGTTGTCGATCGGTCCGTCGATCGTCGACTATCATTCATTTCATTGTTTTTTTGGTCATGCGTGCAGGTTCACATGTTGCCTGAGAGCAGCGAGACGCTGAACGACTCTTGGGGGGACGTGTTTCCATGGGCAGGCTTCTTATGCTCCTTCGGGTTCCTCTTGGTGAGATGAGTGGATCGAGTCGAGCAGCTTGCGGAGCCCCGTTATGGATTGATTGCTCTTCCATGCATCAAATCAACGGCACCCCCGGCTCCCCCCGTTGACCAGATGGATTTTGGAGCTGGCTTGGTACCCGGGCGAAGCGCCCAGTGATACCTCTCAATCAACGACGATTTCGGTTGCCGGCTCCCTGATGTGCTATTTTTCGCTCTCTCTCTCTCTCTCTCTCTCTTTTGGACGGAGGTGGTACTGCGGGTTCCTCGATCCGTTGTAGAAACGATCTTCCCTGACGTCGCCGATAATAATCCTTGAATATTGATGAAGTGCGCACATGTATTGCCACAAATATATAATTCGACTCCATAACTCATTCCCTTGTTTTTGGCGAGCGTTCGTGGTGCGTCCTTTGCTCCTGCTTGTTCTCTTCTGTCTTAGATTCTATTCATCGACCAAGGGGTATCGATATCCCACGCAAGCCGCAGGAAGGGTAGAAAGGGGGGTCACAGCCTGGTGCCCACGGTGAGGAGATCAACAGTCTTGTCGAGGAGCACGCTCACTACGTGACATCACGCCCAGGGTTCGTTCCGCATGTTGTTCGCCCGGTTCATGCCGTATTTTTTTGCAATTCCGTTCGATCGAAGGCAAGCACGGCAGGAGGGGTGGGATTAGGGAGGAACCCTTTTTGCTGTGTGACCATGATGACGGATTGGATCTCGTAGATACCCGGCTGAAATTCTGTGTATGAGCGCTGCTTAACAATAAGAAGTAAAATAACACGGCACATGTCCAAGTTGCAGGTATTATAAGTAGGTTATGTTTCAAACAGTGAAACTGTAAGGAGGTTGCCCGGTCCCCTGTTGCGACAGACAAAGAATGCCGAGGCAATGTTGACGTTCACCAACGTCCTAGTGTGCGATACTGGTGTTTTGAATTACGAATGAAGCCTTGGTGTTGGGGTGGGACGGGAGAGGAGGCGATCTTGACGCATGCTCACGTCACGTCCATCGAGTCGCTGGAGTGTGCAGTGGTCTCCACTCCTTTTTATCTCTTGAGAGGAAGCAGGAGTTTCAAGGGGAGAGCTGTATGCGTAGCTGTATTCTGTCGCGGGGGGGCTTTGTATGATGCATGTTTTCCCGCACCGTGCTTGCGACCAAGTCCCTCGCACCCGCTGTTGAAGCCACTTCCATGTCGCCTTCGCTCTGGCCTGCCGGCCCAATGCTGTATTTTCACAGAGGGGGTCCCTGTGTTGTGCTGGTACGTGCCCAGAAAATTTACCGGTATGTGCTATACCGGACCGGCATCAGTCAAAGTCTATACCGGACCGGCAGTATTCAAAGAACTGACAAATAACTTGGGAATGCAGTGTGTGCCCGCCGAAAACACCGGCACTATGCCGGGCATTGATACCATTCAACCGCCACTAAACAGGGACCCCAACTGTACCTCTCTTTTTGTTTGTTTCCGTCCTTTTTTTTTTGTTCTACAGGAGCCACCAAGCGCGTATGACGTAAATAGTTTCGGCCAAGGACAAGGAATGAACGGCGGGAGCCATCGGAACACCGACTCAGAAGACCTAGCTGCGCTCGTGAGTTGAACGAACGCGGATGTCCAAATAGTAGATACCGGCGAAGGCGTCGTATTCTGTGTTGTTCGTGCAAGTTGGTCGTGAGTTGAACGAACCCGTGGAGGATGTCTAGTAGATACCGGAGAAGGCGTCGTATTCTGTGTTGTTCGTGCAAGTTGGTGTAAATGAAATCTGTCGGTCGCCGTCTTTGTTCATACGGGCCTGAGCCATAGATAGGTCTTGTTTTTTTTGTCAATTTGCACGGATGAAAACCCCTCGATCGTTGTGATATGTTTAGTCGGTGCTGAAGAAAAAGATCGCATCACAACCAACGTTGTAGGTGTTTTTGTTCCCTCGCACCTTACTACTGCTATCGCTTGATGTTGGCTACTAACGCAAGACACCACACCCCATCTGACTCTGTTTGGCTAAACAATTACAACCGTGTTTTGTTTTGGTGTTGGCATCTTGTGTCGCCGTTTCGCTTGATGATCATTCGAGTATTTTTCTGTCTTAGGACTCGTGTCGGCCCGTAACAATAAAACTTCACCAGTATCATCAGAAGCAGGGAGCGTACTACCGTGCCTAAGTTGACATCCACGACGCGAGAAACTTGAGCAGTGCTGTTCTCAACCAACATTCAGTCCTTGTAGGGGAGAGCCCGCCCGTCTTGAGGTCCTCCTTTACCACTCTATCCCACTCGCGCTTCCTTCCGCCCAATCCGTCTTGAGCTCCTCCTATCCCGCCGGTGCGTCCCTTGTCCCCTACTCCGCCCCGCTCTTTGCGCAAGTAATAGATGGTCGCTATTTCACCCAAGGCTCCTCTGGGTTACTCCGCCATGGGCGATGCGGAAGAGGCAGTGGTGCGAGGGGGCCACGCGAATGGCGGCCATAGTGGTGATGTCGGGGCAGGGGGAGCCAGCGGTAGTGACGGGGATCACCTTGGGGGGGCGCATGCGCACGGGCTGGGGGAGGAGGGGGACGGGGTGTGGGTGCGCCTGGCTCTCCTGTTGGCGTTGTCGGTGCACTCGGTGATGGAAGGGCTGGGAGTTGGCGCCGAGGCCACGAAGGCTTACGATTTGCTCTTCGCGATCGGAGTTCACAAGGTACGCTGAGAGCGAAAGAAAACGAACAGTGTTTCGCTGGTTTTCTTTTCACCCACCGCAAAGTTTGCGTCCAACACGTGCCTTCGAATGTGGTATTTTCCCGAATGGGTGGTCTGTCTTTGATTGAATGTAATAGAGTATTATCTGACAGGTGGTTCTTGAACAACTGTGGGCCACGACCCTACGAACCCAACCTACCCACGTGTTTCGCCACAAATCCTTCAACCTTGGAAAACGTTCCCCATGTTCTCCTCGGAAGATTGTCCCTCGGAGCGATGTCGATGTCGCCAACGCTCCGAGCCGCGAGGAAGCGTGCAACGTTACGAGGAGCCTTAAGACGTCTTCCACGAGGCTTCCTCGGATCGTTGGCCGTGACTTCTGTCCGAGAGGGATGCGAGGGCGTGCCCTCCCACACCTCTCACTCTTCACTTCTGTCCCCATCTCATCTATTATAGAGATTCTGCCTCTTTACCGAGCATCAAAGTCTGTCCGGTGATCGTACATATCTGTGGCCGTTGCCTTAACGGCTGTGAAGACAGCGTTGGAGATTCGCACCTCCTTGGGGTGTTCTTGAGTTTCAGCCCTTTAATCGAAGAATTGGAAGCCTTGGTTGAGTTCTTGACCACATAGTAGGTAGTGTATTTCGCGTCCACGTAAATATTGTTTGCGTGTTTTACGCCAATCTTGCATGTCGATGTACGGTCTCTGTGTGTAGCGTGCGTGGTTTTTTTGCTCTGTTTGGTTTTTACTTGTTGGCAAGGAATGAAAGGAGATGTCATCAGAAGGAAGACGACTGCCTCAGGTGAGCTAAGGCGGCCATAGGTGAAGCGAAATATCAACCTACAGTATGTTTGCGAAACTGATTTGTAGCTTTAAGGTTCCCACAACACACATTGACACGCGTGGGTGACGGATAAGAGGTTGGGCCCAAATCGTGGGCTACAAAAGCATGATTGTAGAGGAGGGGGAACGGGTGGGAGTTTCTGTGAGTAGGAAACGGTGAAGGAAGTCCACAACTACAGAGGGCCGTCGAGGCGATGCCCGCGTCAGAAGCACCAAGGCCACCTTGATTGTTTTTGTTTTTCGATTTTGAACAATGCAAATGATCTGGTCCCGAGAAACGGAGTAATAATGATTCTAACCCTGCGGCACGGATCAGAAGGGATGTCCGTGTCATAGGAATGATGGCCTTGTCATTCTGGGATGATGTATCTGCGTGAAAAAGCGGGTCAACCGCCTCGAACACGACCGTTTTTGAGAGAGAGGTATAGCAGCGGAACGTCGATGCGGCCGATGTCGAGCAGAAGCAACCATCCACACCAAAGTGACCCCCCCCTCCCTTCCCCATCCCAATAGTGAAGGGACACAAGGTGTATGGTGTAAAAACTACATGTACATATTGTATGATTTGGCGTGCTTCTACATGAGTGCGTCCCCGACCCACCCATGGCCCGTGGTCTAATCGCTAAGGCCTGCGTTTACATGAGCACACCCCAAACATAACGAGGGTCAGAACGATTTGATGCACAGTCTTAACCCCCCCGCACCCAACACAAGATCATGCTTCCTTTCAAACCAGGGGATCGCCGGGTACGCGCTAGGCGCCGCCCTACTCCAGAGCGGCGTCCACGCAAAGCGGGTCACCCTGTACATCTTCGCCTTCTCCGCCATGACCCCCGTGGGCATCCTCGTGGGTGACATCGTCCAACAGGACGCCGAAAACGACTCAGGCGGTGCCGTGTGCGTAGCGCTGGCCGCGGGAACTTTCTTGTATGTTTCCTTGATGGAGGTTCTCCCGCCGGAGCTCGCTTCTACGGAGAACGGGTGGAGCAAGATGGGGTCCCTGGTGCTTGGGTTCTTGGTCGCGACGGGGGTGGGGTGGCTCGTGGGATGATCCGGTTTGGTTTGGTCTGCGGTATCGTATTTTTTCGGCGTGCCTAAGGTCTGTTGGGGTACAGCGAGCGAGCTCAAATATAGCATTCAAGAGATTCTACAGAGAAGATGATTGGGACGCAGCTTTCTGGTTGGCCATCTTTGAAAAAGATTGCCCCGCGAGGTTTTCGTTTTTTTACCAATGAGAAAACTGCGTGCCCACGGCAAGACCGCTTTTCTTCCGCATAGCAGTGAGTGTGGTTTTTTGCCAGTGTACATGAGTCAAGTTAAATGCGTGGTTCGGACGGCGGGGTGGTGGTGGTTTGGATAGGATGGGCGTGGTTTTGGTTCAAGCGGGGGATTGGATGCCGTTTAGGGAACGCGGCTTGTGTAGGAGACGTCAGGACGATATAGTTCGCCTAGATAATGCTGCTGTGAGGTTCTAGACTTGGAAAGCGACGCCTGCCTTGCACTCGCTCCTTGTCCGAGAAGTTGTGAACGTCGTCTTCGATGCAAGCGACGCCTGCCTTGTACTCGCTCCTTGTTCGAGAGGTTGTGAACGTTGTCTTCGATGCTGCTTTGAGGTTCCGACTTGGAAAGCGCCGCCTGCCGCAGTATTGTTGTTGTTGTCAACGTCTCAGCTGACGCTAAGGGGTGAGAAGCGCAGTCTCAATCGTGTGCTTTATAGAACACCTCAACTGAGACACATCTCTGACAGCGCCTGGAGCAGAGGATAGCAGGCGACCAACACCCATCCTTGCCGTCAGGGATGCGAAGTGTTATCTTGCGACGTGTAGCTTTTTTGTGCTTGAGGGTTCGTTCATGTATGGTGTTCGTCCGGTGGAGAGTGCAGGCCGTATTATTTAGTTAGGTCGTTACGTAGTTGGCGCCATACCCTGTTGAGTATGGACGCTACCACCCACCCTCCAGGTTCGAGATTTTCACGCTTTCTACTATTAATAGTCGCTGTTTGTCGACATATCTACGTAGTACATACATGGCAATGGTAGTGGTAAGCGCGGAAGCCCGGGCGGGACTTCTCCTTTCGTTTTGGCGATTTTTACTACTACTTGTATCGCCCCCCCCCCTTGTTTAGATTAGACTTTTGATGGTGTATTGGACGATGCCCAATCATGCGGCGTCATGGGGGGGAGAACAGGGTTTTTCGGTACAGATGTCGGGATCAGCTACATATATGTAGTTCATTCGAGTCACTTCGTAATCTTCGTGCGTGCAACCCACCGATCCCCGCAGACAGACGTTGTGAGGAAAGGTGAGAGGCTGGTTCCTTGATGTGCTCTTCGTCTTCAGGGTATTCCCCCGTTCCTTGTCGTATCTATCTGTGGGAGTCTGGAGTTCTGAGCCGTGTTGACGGTTGTGTGGACGGATGTGATTCGTGTTTTGGCAAGTTTCAAGGTTGGTCGTCGTGCACATCTTGCCTCGTACCAACCAGTGTTCATTATTTACTGAGTAGATTTTTCCTGTTGGCAACATGTATAGCTTGACATCAGTCGAACCTCGCTTAAGGACACACGTGGTTTTTCTCTAAAAAAAGTGTACTTTAGCCGGGGAAGTGTCCTTCAAATTCAGGGGACTACAACTCACCATCCCCGCGACCAACAGAGACGGTTTATGCGCCAACAGACGCGCATTGGGCTCCAGCAGTTTTTGCACGAAAGAGGAGCCCAAAAAGTCGAAGGGAGATTTGTTGTTTAGACTAGTAGACTTGCCAAAAAAAAATCGAACACAACAACCAACCAGGATGTCATGTGAACGCCTGAACCTTCGCGCTCGCTTTGCAGAACTCTGGTCAACCGCACGCTGCAACCACTCCTGTGCGCTAATCTCATATGTTGCCACGCCGTTAAGACATACAACATAGATACTCCACCCAAAACACGGCGTTGGTTCAAAAACTCCACACACCACGACCTCTACATGACGCGCAGAGTTGCCTGCCGCTCCCCCCCATCCTTAGCTCGCCACTTGACTTGAGTTTTGTGAGTGAACGAATGCACAACTTTTCGAAAGTTGGAACTGGGTTTCGCTGTACTCCCAACCCTTTCCGTTCGCGTACAAGTAGGAGCGAACCTTATCTAGGCTACTGCNCATCCTTAGCTCGCCACTTGACTTGAGTTTTGTGAGTGAACGAATGCACAACTTTTCGAAAGTTGGAACTGGGTTTCGCTGTACTCCCAACCCTTTCCGTTCGCGTACAAGTAGGAGCGAACCTTATCTAGGCTACTGCGAACTTCGGCCTCTGTCATCGAAGATGTGATGCACCACCCAGGCCTGCCCCCACCTGCCCCCATCATCTTCATCGTCAGAGGGACCTATCATCAACCTCCAAGTTTGCGAGATTCTTCTCCACAATCTCCAGTTCCATAGCTAGCTCCCCTTCCAACACGCTAGGGTCGTCCTCTACGGAGAGCCACATGCAGCAGCAGACCTCTCTGCGACAAGTCTGCGGTCTACAAGTGCGCTGGGAACTGCTGTTTGAAGGGGGTTCTGCGGACTATGTTTGACACCCCCCGTTATAATATATTTTGCGGGGCACCTTGTTTCAAAAAACAAGTGTCCTTGTCTGGGGGAGTTTCCTTAGTTTTGGTGTCCTTTAAGCGAGGTTCGACTGTACCCACCCGCACTTTTGCACTATTGAGGGGCCTCGACTCTGTGTCACGTTTGTTGAGGTTTTTCTTCACCCAAACGCTTTTTTTTGCCAACCAAACGTAGAATCACTCGTGGGTGCAGTCAATGAACCGAGGGAACAACCTGGACGAAAGACACACTCCATGCATAGACATAAACATCGTTATACATATGTCGAGTCTTTCAACCTGGACAGCGAAGGCCGAGAGGGAGCCCGCAGAATCTTTGTATGTAGACTATATACGTGCTTCTCCTTCCTCGCTTGGAGAACCCCCCAGTGCGTATTTTGCAGTTGTTTTGCTCAAGAATTCTGGGATTGTTATTCTTCTACTCGTACACCTATACTGGATGACAACTTCGGGACATCGTATGGAACACCGACAGACGAAAGAAAAACCAAACTCTCAACCCTCGTGGGTATACCCTTCTATGTCTCCGCTCCATTCCCCCAAATAAATTACTCAGCCAACCCGTATAGCCTCACCACTACTGTGGGGCTACCTGACCCTCACCCCACATTACAGGCTGAGATATCGTACCCCCAACTTTTTGCTGCTTCTTCTCTAGGGCGGCAGACGCTTCTTTGGCACCTTCTCTTGCCTCCCTCACATAAACCAAGATGTCGTGACGAGGAATGAGGAGCGATGTTTTCGTCTGCAACACGATCTCGCAATGGAGACCACCTGCTGCTCCTATTGATTGGTCACGCCAGTCGTCAGTGTTCGTCAACTGCCGCACCGTGTAAGCCACTTCGGACCGTGGCCATCGTGAACTTCCATCCGCTAACATGTTTTGTACGCCTAGGATGTGTTTGGCGTCGTATCTCCAGCCCCCTCTGTTTTTCAAGGTGGCCAAGCATTCTCATCATTAGGCATGCGCGTTAATCTCTTGCTCCGCCGCATCGGTTTGAGCACGTGACGGCTGCGAAGTTGTCTCCGCGCATTCGAATCGGGTCGCCTCTATTTTTCGGGCGGTCCCCTGCTAGCTCGTGCATGACCCACGCGGGTACAGCCATCCCAACCAGTTCGAGCAGGTTGATCGTGAGGCCAGACGTCTCACGACATGCGGCCTTTCGTTTTGGTTCGGCCAAGAAAGGCAGGGGCAGGTCGCATCTCCAGTACACTCTCAGCTCTCGGCAGTATCCACCTATCGCATTGAAACTAGCATCTGATAGGTAGTATCTCTTTGCGAGACGGCTGATTGTGGCGAAGCATGGTGCGCTGATACGCTCCCCGGCTGTCAAAAGTTCTTGGTCTATTGCCCACCTCCAAAAATTCCAGGTCGTCGTGGAACTCTCTTCCTAACGTATGGAGTGGATCTGGGTTCTTACGCGACGACTGCAGATCTGTGAGTCGTAGCAGCCTCCACACAAAGTACTTTCCGGCGCGAATCACAAACGTCAGATTCCATAACTTTCCTGCAAGCGAGAACACCTCCTGCGCTGTCGCTTGGCGTCTGCCGCGCGGCCAATTGTTGACCAGGAGAGTTTTCACCTTTTTTGTACCCTTTCTGAGGTGATGGAAATCTGCATGGTGTGAGAGTTTCTTTGAATACCCAAACAATCCAACTTGGTATCCCAGTTCGAGATCTTTTTGGGCGCCAAGATCGGTGTCTCGCCTGGTTGTCCAGGCCCAAATAGACGTACATAATCCGACATGAGGGAGGCGGATACGGTAAGGGCGGATATATCTTCGTCCGATTGTTTTGCTCGAAGCAGGGCGTGGTCGTCCGCATACACGACTATTTGAAACGGGCCTAACAAGGTCCCCCCCTTACTTGCACGGACCTTGATGTCGGGTGGCACGGGCGTAGGGTCGCCGGTCTCCCGACAGTCCACTACTTTGATATGTTTCGTGGTCTCTACACCTTCTGGTAACAGTTGCACGGTATCCAAGCTTGTGTTACGGTAGGCGTGCACTGCCGCGGACGCCATCACTCCGAAGTGGCCTGGCGACCCTGTCCATCCGAACGTCAGTCAGAAATCAATGATCACGAGATCCCCGATTGTGTAACAGACGTTGTGTGCTTGGTCCGGGTCTACTCTAACGTTGCGGAAAGCGTTGTCAACGTCGGTGGTGCCATCAGCAGTCGTAACTCCTGGATGCTTCGCTCTCACGCTGCGTAGTTCCGTGAGGAAGGTCGGCAGCGCTTCGGCGCACAGGCTCGGGGGCACGCTACCTAGGTCCGTGTCCGCGTTGAGACCTCCCTCTTTTTCTTGGTTAAATAGATCGAACGACAGGTCGTTGATGACCCTACCCTTGTGTGCTACGACTGCTTCCAGGGGCATTACTCTCAGGTTTGGTACCTCGTGAGCTGCTGACTTTTTTTCACCAGGCTTATTTCTCTGCGCACATCTCCCCCGATCTTTTTCCAGATTAGCGGGTGGTGTTCTTCTGCACTACGATGGTTGCCGTACTGCAGGGCACTTTCGAGGTTTTCATGAGATGGGGGGGCGATCACCGGCACTCCCGTTGAAACGATTGTCATCAGTTCGTTTTTTTGTGGGAATCCTTTTAGGTCCCCGGAATAACGTCTGGTGGTGTTGGGGTTTACGGGAGGTGTGGCCAAAATCCCGCAGAGGGCTCGAGCTACGTCTCCTACCCTTCCCCCGTTTTCGCGAGTCACAGTGGTGCACGTCGCAGCCAGACTAGCTGTAGAGGATGCGTTCTCTCTCTGACTGTTCAAGATCCGTGTTTCTGAGGCATTTTTTTCGCTCATGCCAAAAGACAAGTGTTTGGGTTATGGCCGACGTTCTGCTGCAGCGATCTCTCGCCCTGCATGCACTGAACGCCTGTTTGCGTCTGGGCTACTAGGGTAAGGTGGCCGCCCGCCGTAGGCGGCGGAACGGCCACCCG